GAGAGGGAGAGGGAGAGAGAATTCCAAGCAGGCTCCACATTGTCAGCACAGAGCTTGACGTGGGTCTTGAACTCAGGAACCAAGAGGTCATGACCTGAGCCGAAATCAAGAGGTGGACGTCTAACCGACCAAGCCACCCAGGCGCCCCTGATTTCTTGCCTTTTAAATCTTACCTAAGTTGTTTTGTTTAAATGGGATCTCCTCTCTTGCCTTATGCGGACACAAAGAACAGCTGGCGACCACCCTCTATGGAATAAAATTCCCAAGCACTTAGACGGCATCGTCCAATTCCCTTGCTTCTTTGAAGATGCAGAGAACAAGCTGTCAATATTCCCCAGCCTGAAGCTGCTGTCACGTGCTCTTTGTGCCCTCAAAGAGCTTTGTGCCCGAGCGTGGGGCCCTCAACTGTGCTTTGTGTGTGAGTTTGGGTGCATCCCAAATCATTTCTCAAGGACAGCTCTGGCCCTGCCTATGGCAGCCCTCCAGAGGAGGGAGGTGGCCTCCCAATCAGTCCTCAGAGAAACAGATTTGGAGAGACTGCCTGCAGATGTAGCCCTCCCTCTGGGATTAAGCCAACCCCCCCGGGGCTGCTGGCAGAGACCACCTTGGTTTGCCCACCCTCCGTGCAGTGGCTTTTCTATACTATGCGTGATGAGCCAGCCTGGCCCACTCCACAGACACCATATAAGAAATAGGTCTGTAAGGCCTTGGTGCCATTGTTCTAGGGGTACAGTTGAGGGTGGGCCGTTGACTCTACCATGGACATGAGAAGGTGCAGGCAGCACTGCTCCCAGGACTCAGAACCAGAAGTACTTGCACATCTTAAGCATGGCTTATTTTTCCCTCATGGACTATGATCCTACCACTGATGAGTTTCCACTGTGTTTCTGCTGCTAGAGAACTCTAGATCAAATATGGGGGCTACTTCTGGAAGGGTGCTGTCCAAGAGAACTTTCTGTGGTGAAGGAAATTTTATGGATCTGTGCTATCCGATAGCATAGCCACTAGCCACACAGGGTTACTGAGTCCTTGAAATGTGTTGAGATTGAGAAACTGGAATCTGCATTTTAATTAATTCAAATTTTAAATTTAAATGGCCACATGTGGCTCATGGCTACCAATCAGCTCTAGACATTATATTGGAAATGCACGCATCCTGATGTCACCTTTGGTTTATGTGAATTTCTAGCAATATATTCTATCTACTCCAAATCCTTTTGCTGTCTAATTATTTTTAATAATACTTTCAGTTAAGTGTCAGATTTTGGTTCAGGTCATGATCTCACGGTTCACGGGTTCAAGCCCTGCATCGGACTCTGTGCTAACAGCTCAGAGCTTGGAGCATGCTTCAGATTCTGTGTCTCGCTTTTTCTCTCTATGTCCCTCCCTAACTCACACTCTTTCTCTCTCAAAAAATAAACAACAAAAAAAAATCTTATGTGGTATATATATCATTGTCAGCTATGTTTTTAAAATGTGAGACCTACTTAGAAGTACGAAGAAAAAGGTACCATACCCTAGTGAATATCCCTAGTCAATTTCTTTGACTAGGTACATCTTCCCCGCTTTGTGCAAAATGGAGTAATTAATATGTTCATTTAAAGGAAGGGCCTTGCAGGGAAGGGGAAAAGTCTTCTGTTTCTTCATCTGGATGCTGCTCACACAAATGGTCACTTTGTGAAAATTCACTGGGCTTTGTGCTTATGATCTATGTACTTTCCATACATTACTTATACCATTCTTCAAGAAAAAGTAAAGGGAAACCTATAAACAGAACCTGTTGTGTCCAACATCTGATGTCAATTCAGCTCTAGGGGATGAGAGAAGGTTCAGAGGACACGGATCGTGACTCCAGAAAGCCGCAGTGTAGCATCGTTGAGCATTAATGCAAATCTCTAGGATGCATCTTCCAGAGGGATCTCGGGCAACTTATGCTAGCAACTCCTCACCCTCCTCTTCCCTACCCTTTCCCCCTGAACCAAGCAGGGCAGAGAAAGGAGAGACGAGCTTCACAAGGAGGAAGTCTTTCTTTCCATCTTATCATATCTCAGTAAAAAACATTTCCAGGAGTGCCTGGCTGACTCTTGTGGGTAGAGCATGTGACTCTTGGTATCAGGGTCATGAGTTCAAGCCCCATGTTGGGCGTGGAGCCTACTTAATTAAAAAAAACAAAAACAAACAAAAACAAATAAAAACGAAAACATTTCCAAATGCTTATAAAAGGTTGGGTAACTCCCAGAAAAAATCTTTCATCTTTTCTTTTCCAGGGAAATAAAATCAGAGGAGGAGTTCTCTCGAATATGGAATGTTAATGGAGCAGGAAGAGGAAATAAAATGCAATCTGTCTTTTAAGAAAGCAACTAAAAACTACCCAAGATTTGCTTCAGTGTATAGTAACTCCACCCAACTGAACAAAAGCATTTATATTAAAAATTATAACTGAAAATATAACTTGGGAGATACATTCTAAGGATGATGTGGCTAAAAGGTACTCTCTCAGGTAGGTCCCTCTCTCTGTGACTTAACTATCTTAGTTTTGCTAAAGACTGACACACAAAGTTTTACTTTGAAAGTAACTTAAAGAGATGGGCAGATGCATATTTCACGCTAGAGCAGAAGGTTGCTTTCTGCAGTGATTCTGTCACAGTAACCTGGACAAATGGCCATAATTAAGAATTATGGGGGGGCTATTAATCATTTCTGTCCATATTAATTTGCCTCGACATATTACTATATCGAACAAAGGCTTGCATTCCTGAGACCAAGGATACAAATCTTTTTTCTTACTTTTTTCACACTTTGATGCTCTAACTTCAAAACCCTGCACCTGTACAGGTTTTATAACCATTTAAATGTGTGAATCTTTGAAATATTCTTTCATTGGTTCCTTTGAGCAGAGCCCAGGCCAAGCTTTTATACTTTGTTCTTTCACTTATGTTATTACAGGCATCAAGAGAAAAAGTATTCTAATTACTGCAAAAAAGGAAGAAGTCCCTTTGAAACAATCACATTCACTTTGGTCTTTTAGCATAAACAGAACCCTTCCATTTACTTTTACTTATTCAACTGCATCATACTTTGCCTACAAGGATGGGCAATCTTCAAAACACAGAAGGATTTTTTTCTCACATTTCAAAAAAGACTATAGAGCAAATGCTAGCTAGCATTCAATTCACTGAATAATAAAGCGATATTTAGTTTCTTATCTTACAGTTCAAAGAAAAATCTGAAAGCATCTGTGTCCTATAAACAGTAAATATCTCAAGGTGACCTTTCTGACTTGAGCAGTGTGGCCCGCCTATAGTTTTAACCAGTTATCTGACATGTGCCAAATTCTCACTTCATTTTGGGATATGTGGATTACACCTCTGATGCTTAATGTCAAAATCATGACAACTATGAAGCTGTACCTGTGATTCAAGTAACTACAATCAGCACCTTCAGGAGGTGATTTCAAGATAATGGCCCCTAATTCGCTATCAACTTTCGCCTTCCAGGTAGCCAAGTGTGAAAACTGAGATGCCCAAGCCAGAGGTTTTTCAGAAAAACAGTCCTGGGGCGCCTGGGTGGCTCGGTCAGCTAAGTGTCTGACTTTGGCTCGGGTCATGATCTCCCAGCTTGTGAGTTGGAACCCTGGATTGGGCTCTGCTGACAGCTCAGAGCCTAGAGCCTGCTTCGGATTCTATGTCTCCCTCTCTCTCTGCCTCTCTCCCACTCGTGCTCTCTCTCTCTCTCTCTCTCAAAAATAAACAAACATTAAAAAAAGAAGAAGAAAAACAAAGGCCTATATGCTTGGAGCTGGCTTACATGTTAATTCCAGAAAGCCTGGGTTTGGAAAGCATTTATCAGGTAGGGCCAAGTGTAGACCATCCTTAAATCTGCGTGCTAAATTTGGCATTCTAGAGTATGATTAGTGATCCTGAAAGGGGGTCAGGCAACCACTGGAAGGATGCGAGGAGAAACGGGTCCAGCAACCGAGTGAAGGGTTAACCACAGAAGGGGGACAGTCCACTGCATCCATTTCCTTAAAATGTATCCGCTCACCTCCTCCCAAGCTTAATGAAACCCAAAATGCCACAGGCATCACTTGCCCCTTAAAGTATTTATGAGAAAGTAATTTTTCTTTTCTTTTTTTTTGTAATCAATCACTGTGTGTGTGTTTTTTTAATGTTTTATTTATTTCTAGGAGGGAGGGAGGGAGGGAGGGAGAGAGAGAGAGAGAGACAGCGTGAGCAGGGGAGGGTCAGAGAGAGAGGGAGATACAGACTCTGAAATAGGCTCCAGGCTCCGAGCTGGCAGTCAGCACAGAGCCCGACGCGGGGCTCGAACCCACGAACCTGGACATCATGACCTAAGCGAAAGTCGGACGCTTAACCGACTAAGCCAAGCAGGCGCCCCACGAGAAAGTAATTTTTCAAGCGATCACTGGGTTCTAACCACCTACTTCCCGCGTAGCGGTAGAAAGACAGAAGGTGGGGGGCACTAGAGGGAAGAAGGAAACAAACGCATCCTCTCTATGGAATGCCAATGTAGTTTACAATTTTCAAAGAGCTGGGTTTTCCTGGAGGCCCTTCCTGGAAGTGAAGGATGTACTGGTAAAAACTCCCTAAGTGTGAGGGAGCAGATTCAGGAACCTTGGATAAGCTCGCCTGAAGCCCCGGAGCCCCTGGCATTCAGCGCCTGCTCAAAGAGCGGGTGAAGACGCTTGCGGAGGCCCTGGCAGTTGCTTGCTGAGGCACAGAGCCACGGCAGCGAGGTGAAACCACCAATGCCGAGCGCTCTGGACACCCCCTCTTCTGTTCCGGCAGAGTACGGACGCCCGGCCTTTGTCTAAGAGCCGGACAGGAGGCCACGGATGCCTCCCTTTTTTCCTGAACTCCTTGCTCTTTACCAGGTCCTAACCAGGGTTTCCCCCCCCCCCAGCCACCCCCCCAGTTTCTCTGTCGCCCCAACACGGCCAGGGAGGTCGACACAGAGCCGTCCCCCTGCTCCCCGGGTACCTGCAGCAGGATCTTGTTCCCGTCGAGGTCCTCCGTCTGCCAGCGGCCCTCACTGATGGGGCTGCAGGGGTTGGGCAGGAGAGGCACGAGCTCGCCGATGTCCTTGACCCTGAACTCCAGCACCGAGGAGTCGGTGGGGACCGGGGTCTGGTCGCAGGGCAGTCTCTTCAGGGAGAACTGGATGTCCACATCCAGGTTGGAGAAGATGGGGAAGATGCAGAAGTCCGTCTTCCTCTGGCTGGGGCCGCGCCGGAGGATCAGCTCGTAGAACTTGAGGATGTCGGCGTAGTTGTCGTGGCGGCAGTAGACGGTGAAGCGCACGATGTCCCGGCCGTAGTGCACGGGCCGGATGGCCCAGAGCGGCGTGCCGGGCGCCAGCGTGAAGAAGTCCTGGCTGCACGGCAAGTAGGGCAGGAAGCGGCGCGGCACGCGCTCCGTGTGGTGGTGGCGCCAGGGCGGCCGCTGCAGCGCGCGGTGCAGCCGCAGGATCTGCTCCTCGCCCGCCTCCTCCTGCAGGAAGAGAACGACCGCCAGCGCGGGCTGCGCCGCCTTGGCCGGCTTCCGCCGCCGCCGCGACGCCCTCCTTTCCGACACGCGGAACAGCTGCAGGTCCGGGTGGATCCAGGCCAAGACCTTGTCGATGGCCTCCTGCAGGGGCTGGGATTCCCCCGGGTCCGCGATTATGTGGATGCTAACCAGGAAAGGGTCCTGCGCCTCCTCCACGGAGAGCTCACCTGGGGGGGTTGGGGGGGGGCGCAGGAAGAGAGAGAAAGAAAAGACCGTGAGCGTGGGGCGCCTGGGTGGCTCAGTCGGCGAAGCGTCCGACTTCGGCTCAGGCCATGATCTCACGGTTCGTGGGTTCGAGCCCCGCGTTGGGCTCTGTGCTGACAGCTCAGAGCCTGGAGCTGCTTACGATTCTGTGTCTCCCTCTCTTTCTGCCCCTCCCCCATTCATGCTCTGTTTCTGTCTCAATAATAAACATCAAAAAAATTAAAAAAAAAAAAAAAAAAAGGAAAAAGACCGTGAGCATGTCATTAAAGGTGTCCTGTGATGACGTGCCACGCCTTCACCGGAGAAGCTAACTTCTCACTGCACCGACTCCGCAATCATTAGGGTGCTCTGAGCCCAAGCAGGCTCCCACACACTGCTGCCGGAAAGTTGCCACACCCGCCAGCGCTGGGAGGACCCCAGGGCTGGACTTCATCAGGTCCAGTGTACTCTGTATTAGGTGGCAGAAAGGCCAGTCTCCTCCGATCTGGAAGGGACCACACGCCCGTTAGGAACGTTGCAGCATTAAGTGTAGGCCGTTTAGTATTTCCCGAAGGAGCTGCAGGGCCTCACCCCATGCACGGTCCCTGAAACACTGCACTCCTCTGACCGGCTGTTTTGCTGGTTTATTTTCTTCATTCATTTAACAAACATTCATGGAATCCTTTCTTGACACTTCATGCCAGGTGCTGGGCCAGGCACTCACTCTGACAGATAAAGCCCTGGCAGGTGAGGCATGCCGCCTCCAGTAGACTGATGGCGGGGTGGGGTGGCCTGGCCGAGACCACCTTGCGGCTGGAGGAGCCATGGGGGTGGGGGTGGGGGACTGCGCAGCAGGAAGCACAGTGACCTCAGTGTACTTGCGGAGGCTGCTTACTGGGGCTGTGGTTAGGGGTGGGGGGCGCATGGTATAACCACTGCTGCCTGCGTAAGGCTGTCTCGTGGGCTTCTCCTCAGGCCACCCCACGCGGGCCCACACATCCTGAACGGGTCATGTACCTCCCCACGTCTCTGGCAGAAAGAACAAGTGGGACCACTGAATTCACGTGGGAGCCTGACCATTGAACTTGGCAACACTACCCCACAGGGTGAAGAGTCTGCTGGCCACACTGGCATATTTCTAATTCAGATATTCAGCACATTTTCTCAGATAGCCTGATATAAGGCTTGTTCTTTTAAAAGATAACTCTATTTGCATTTTTACCGGCCTTATGACTCATCCAAGGGAAATCAAGAAATCTTAAAGTCCACTGTGACTTGGGGAGGAGTAGCTAGATTTATCTAGAATGTAGATCTTTCATCACACACATGCCTCACAATGTCCACTAGGGTATTAGACAGAAATCAGTCATGCAGTCAATAACATTTGAGGAGTGTGATGTGCTTTCAGGAATAATAAACTCAATTCAAAGGATGAAAAGTCAATTTGTTTTCTAGGTTTGCAAGACATGCCAAATGGGCTTGCAAGTGTATTTCATTATATTCGCCTGTAATAATATGGTTTTAACTTTGTTGGATCAAAACCTGTCGGAAATTTCATCCCAACTCTAAATGTTAGATTATTTCACTTAGGAATAGTTAATTCAGTTTGTTGTTGCTTTTCTTATTTACTCATTTATTTATGCATTTATTGGGCAATCATTATGTATCAGACCCTTGAGAGACAAGGAAGCTGGTATCATCGAGTACTATAGGCATCTTTCTACATAGACTCTGTGTGAACAGTGCTGCTCCCTTAGAATTGTGCAGTGTATAACCTGGACAACCACAACAGCAGCCCTCTAAAGAACTGTGAGTCACAAATGAGAACTTCATAAGTACAGTCAGAATAAATAAAATTCAATCTGATATATGCCTACAGGAAATACAGCAGAGTAGCATTTTAGGCAGGGGTTAGAGTCTAAAGTCACCCTGAAGTAAAAATTACCTATAGACAATATTACTACTGAGAGTCCCTTAAATTTCCAACATAATTCTCAAGGTCCTACTTGCCACAAGACAGCACAGCCAGACAGGTGTTCCTGTGGCTGAACACCAGATAAAAAAGCAGGCTTGCTCAATGGCTTATGTTGTAAAAGAAGAGTCTTCTATCAGTAAACACCAGACCCCCACACAGCAGGCTGTACCTTTCCCCCTGCAGGAGGCTTCTGGAACATAAGGATGACCAAGGTAACAGCAAAGTCAAGTCTCAGTACTTCCATGATCGTGGGCTAGAATGGTGGGTGAAATTATATAACTCCAGTCCCTTCTGGCTGAGCATGTATTCTTGAATTTGTACGAGTTCAATATGAGCATGATGTCATTCCAATTTACTACCATGAGACAAAGGACGGAGCAACTTTCTTCCAGAGTGCTTCTGGGAAGGGTTTCTGGAGTTTTCTGAAGTGGACCTTGAAAGGCAAATAATATCTCACTCATAATAACCTCAAATGTGGGGGAGATCACTGCAGGAAGAGCGAAGACTGTTTATGAAGGCACAGAACGGTGCAAAAAAACAAGCACATTTGGAAGGGGGTGGTGAGTAATTCTGAAACATGGCAACAGATGCAACGGGAAAAATGGACTGGAGCCAAGTTGTACAGGGCTTCAGCTCAATTTGGTAGTGATAAGGGGCAGTGGAAAGTTTTAATAAAGGGATGTTGGAATCCAGTCAGCGGAAGGCCAAGTAAGAAGTCAGAAAATGGATAAACAGCCTAGACAAGAGACAAGGACTTGGCCTTGGAGGAGATGGCGTTACTGGCCCTCGTTCTTTATCCTACCCTGTCTCCTTGCTCTCTGCCATGGGACTTTACAGTTCTTCCCACTAAATGGGTGAAGTGCTCTCACCACCCTTTGCCTTTGGATTCAACTATATGCCTAACTTTGGTCAAGAGAAAGACACAATGGTGATGTGTGTTTGGGCCTGCCTTCTCGTGCTTCTGACATTTCCAAGGGAAGAACGTGCTCTCGCTAGTGCATCAGTGCCAGAAAGCAGGATGTGAGATGCACGGATCGCAGCCACCCTAGCTGAGTCCGGCCTGTATCAGCCAACCTCAGACACCCAGAGAAACACGGTAAGAGCCACCTAGCTGTGCCTAGTCTAGATCAACTGACCTGAGACATGTGAGAAATAAGAAATGACTGTTGTTTCTGTGTAGCAACAGGGATGGACCTTGAGGGTGTTATGCTTAGCGAAATAAGTCAGGCAGAGGACAAATATCATGTTTGCACGTATAGGAGGATTAGGAGGAACTTAACTGAGGACCATGGGGGAGAAGAAGGGGGGAAATGGTGGGGGAAAGGGAGAGAGGCAAACCATGAGAGACTCTTGAATGCTGAGAACAAACTGAGGACTGATGGATGTGGGGGGGAGGGGGGCACTTGTGGGGATGAGCACTGGGTGTTATATGGAAACCAATTTGACAATAAACTATTTGTAAAAAAAAAAAAAAAGAAAAAGAAAAAGAAAAAGAAATGACTTGTTTCAAGCCACTGTTTGGGGGTGGTTGTTACCCAGCAATACTTACAGGTGCACTGGGTATACAGAAAAGGCAGAGATTCACAGACTACTGAGGAGGCACAGGTGACTGAGTCTGGAGCCCACAGGCCTGGGATGGAGTGTACCATGTTTCTGGCTTGAGGAACTGGACAGACATCCAGGCTTAACTAAGACATACAAAACAGAGCAAGAAGAGAAGTGCTGTAGGTAAAGATAAGGAGTTCCACTCTGGCCATGTTGCTGTGAGGTGCCGGAATGACTTCCAGGAGGGATGCCCTGTTAGCAACTGGACCTATGCACCGTTCAGGTCCTGGGCTGAGTTTAAAGATGGCTCAGTTACCGGTCAACTGTATTCTTGCATTTATGCCCCCATATAAATCTGAATCAGTGGAAATCATCATAGCGGTTTAAGAAACAATCAGAATTCATGGGCTTTTGTGGTTCTTCTTTGTTTGCTCTTCTGCTCACCTGGCTACTTTCGGTTTCACTGAACATTAGCACCACTATCGGCCGAAGCCTGGCTGAAACACACGCGGTGACAAGGCAAACCAGTGAAATCTCCCACCAGTCAGCAACTCCCGCAAAGGCCAGAGAAAGTGCTATGATCAAGAAAAATGCGTATTTCATGTTTCCACGGTCACTTGACCTCCCAGTGGGGACATGTGACTCTGCTACACATTAATGAATGCTCAGTATAAACAGAAAGAGGGCAAAAGGCTTTGAAAGATTTGGGGGATGAAGAAATTTACTTGAGGAAATTACAGATGATTGCTGTGAGAGGAGAAAAGGACATATGGAGTGGAAACAATATTTGAGAAGAGAGGCTGGCAGAGCAGTGAGGCCATCCTGTTGAGGTCCAGAGCCCACTCTCAGGGGGTGCCCGCACAGCCACATACATGGAGAGATGTTGTTAACTAACACACCCATGATTTCCTCTGTGGGCTGGCACTTCCTCCATGTTCTACATGCATGACCTCATTTAATCCTTAAAACAACCCGGGGAAGAGGGCACTATTATTGTCTCCATTTTAGAGAGCAGGAAATTGAGGCACAGTGAGGCAAAGTCATCTGCCAAGGTCACACAGCATCTGAAGTGTGTCTGCACAGTCACTGGCATTTCTGCTGAGGAGTGTGCTTACCCTCTCCGCTGCACCCATTTCACAGCTGCCTGGCCCCATCATTTCTGGCCACACTGCTACTCTTCATCCCTCTCTGCTGCTTTCCTGCCTCCTGCTGTCTGGCTGGCTTCTCCACCACCAGCCAATAGCTCCGTGTCTTGGACACTCATTTATATCACCTTCTTTTGGTGCTGAGTGCGTGAAGAAGAAAAATCCAGAAGCCACCTCCCCGACGGCCCACGCCCAGGTCTTCACATCTGAGCACTGCCCTCTTCGCGCTTGCAGGCGAGCATGAGGCCTGGGCGTGGCGAGGCCCCGGGGAAGGTAGCTTCGGAGTTTCCAAGACAGTTGTCAGGGTGCTGGGCGTCAG